GTCATCCATCGGGCTGCTGCTAGTATTTCAACCCCAAGCGCGTGCCGTATGTCCCCAACCACTTGCTGGACTTCGTGACGCGGCCGCTCGAAGCCGGGCGCGGCCATGTGCTCAAGTGTTTCATTGAGCGGAATCGCGTGGGCCAAAACCGCGTACGTCGTCTTCTTGCACCTAATATTGGAGAGCGATTCGGGATGTGAAGACTTTGATTGGGTAGCTCTCGCCCGTGTACACGCTCTTGGTCGAAGTCAACAGTTCGAGCGGCCGGCCCATCTTGTACTGTCGCCAAAAAGCAACGAGCCAATTCTCGTCGCACTTTGTGTTCAGCCTCAACAAGTCTCCGTCTCCTTCTTGATACATTGATAGAAACAGTGTGTCTGTGGTAGGGAAGATCTCTTTTTGTCGCGTTCAATGCGCAGCAAGCAGTTTCTCGGGAAGCTTCGGTCGGACACGCGCAAGATGGAGTACGCGCTCTTCGACCAAGGCGACAACCCGGAGGACATTGACTCGGACTGCGAGATTGACGACGAGATTCGCCAGCACATCCGCGCGCAATTGTGCATCATTCGCTACCACAACATGAAAAAGGTACGACTCGTACGAGTAGAAACATGCATGGCACTGATTTGTTTTATAGGACCATCCGCGCAAGATGGAGGTCATCATTCCGTCCATCAACGAGACCGGCACGGGGTACCTGGAGTGGCGCCCCATCACGCGCGACCAAGCCATGGAAACCCTCTTTAGCGAGATTTCCGAAAAGGCACGTCGCATTGTATCAAGTTGATACGAAAAGAAAAAATAGGGCGGCGAGAATGTGGTCGAGGCCGACAAGTTTATCTGCATGCACAAGCGCGAGACGCAGTACGACCCGCTTTCGTCGTGCATTGTCGACTTTCGCAGCCGTGCGACATGTGTCTCGGTCAAGAACTTTCAAATGGTGCACTCGCAGCCGCTCGACCAAGACCGGTACCGCGAGGCGTATATTGCCGCGCACCCCGGGTACCACTACGACGACGAAGGCACGGTGAGCGTGCCCCAAGAGCACGTGCTCCTGCAGATGGGCCGTGTCGGCCAAAACTGCTTCAACATGGACTTCCAATACCCGCTCTCGATGCTCCAAGCGTTTGCGATCTGCATTTCCCGCTTTGATTCCAAGCAGAAATAAGACAATAGAGCCTCGTTCTCGTTTGCACTCTTAATTGTCGTCGTCGTTCTCGGCTGTCTTGACGCGACCGGAGAGCTCGTGCATGAGGTACTTCATGTCGTTGACGATCGTGGTTTGCTCAGCCGGCGTCGCGAGAAGGTACATGTCTTGCATCATTTCAGCCTGCGCGGCATCCTTCAGTCCCAGCAATACCCGCGGCCACGTGTATTACCTTCTTGGCCAGGTCCAGACGCGCGAAGTACGCTGTCCACGGCGCTAGCGATAGCCGTGGTGGGTTGCGCCATCGATTTTATTGTTGTGTACCGGGAATCGAGAGCTCTTCGTAGTTGCCGGCCGGGATCGGTTCCATGTCGTCGGACGCATACTTGGAGATGCGGCTGGCTACGAAGAAGAGACAACATGTCCTTCTCGCGCTGAAATGAAACAGGTACGACGTACGGGCACTGGCCCCCGCGAGGAGCTCGAGGAACCGCATAAAGAACGCAAACCGCTCCGGCTTGCTCGACTGGTTCCAAAAGGCCACGAGGAGACCCAGGCGCATCTTGGTATCTACAAAACACGATGTCTTCTGTCGTGTATGGGACATCGTCCAATCTCTACCCGACAAGTGCGTGTACACTTGCTTCCACTCGTCCCGCGTCCGGATCGTTTTCTAGCATCCCGTAAGACTCGAGAGGTTGATGCATTCGGCACGACCTCGCGGTCGATTTTGTCGGCGAGCTTTCTGGTCGACGCGATCTTGGCTTGCACCTCGCGCGTCTTGCTGCCGAGCGTAGCGGCGTGTTCGTACGCAGTTTGCGCGCGGCGCAGGTGGCCCAAGGCCTCGAGGGCCTGGCCTTGCCGAAAATACCCCTACCCCCATCTCTGTAACCCTAATCCACGGTGGTGGGTACCTTGGCCCACTGCGGGTCGAGTGCGATCGCCGCTTCGGCGTCGCGCAGCGCGTCGTCAAACTTTTGAAGGTGGAAGCGGCGGCCGATCGGTTGCCGAAGAGCGCCTACGTGTCTCGTTCAATCGTGCG